CTCCCTTCCTCTTCACCCTCTACACCACAGACTTCAGCTATTGCACTGAGACCTGCCATCTTCAGAAGTTTTCTGATGACTCTGCTATAGTTGGATGTATCAGCAAGGGTGATGAGGATGAGTACAGGGCAGTTGTGGATAACTTTGTCACATGGTGTGAGCAGAACCATCTGCAGCTCAACGTGGCAAAGACAAAGGAACTGGCTGTGGATCTGAGGAGGACCAAGACACCGGTGACCCCTGTTTCCATCCAAGGGGTCAGTGTGGACATTGTAGAGGACTATAAGTACCTGGGGGTACACACTGACAATAAACTGGACTGGGCTAAGAACACTCACGCTCTCTACAGGAAGGGCCAGAGCCGTCTCTATTTTCTGAGGCGACTGAGGTCCTTCAACATCTGCCGGACTATGCTTAGGATTTTCTATGAGTCTGTGGTGGCCAGCGCTATCCTCTATGCTGTTGTGTGCTGGGGCAGCAGGCTGAGGGTGGCGGATGCCAACAAACTCAACAAACTGATCCGCAAGGCCAGTGACGTTGTGGGAATGGAGTGTGACTCTTTGATGGTGGTGTCAGAGAGGAGGATGTTGTCTAAGCTACGAACTATCTTGGACAATGTCTCACACCCACTCCACCATGTGCTGGTCAGGCACAAGAGTACTTTCAGTGGGAGACTCATACCACCAAGATGTACCACTGAGCGCCACAGGAAATCATTCCTGCCTATGGCCATCAAACTGTACAACTCCTCCCTCTGAGTGGCCCTGAGACTTTTTCACACACTGCAATAATTTAATATAACTTGTGCAATAACCCCATTCACCCTGACTGTATATATTCTGTTTGTGTAAATAATCTTGTTCAGTTTACAATATATATATGTATATATATATATATTTATTTACGTTTATGTTTGTTAATAATTCCTGTTTATTTAACTATATATTTGTTAATACTATTGTTTAAATTTCTTATATTTTCATGTATCTTTCCTCTCTTGCAAGGAGCACCTGTAACATAAATAATTTCCCCTCGGGGATCAATAAAGTATTTCTGATTCTGGTTCTGATTCTGATAGTCACTCTAGAATGTGACAGAGCATTCCAGTGGCAATGCTGAGGACTGCCAGCGACAGAGTTTTAAATATGTGAATAACTGAGCTGGGATATTGAAGAATTGTGATGACTGCATAGGAGATTGTGTTTTGATTTGGTCAATTAATGGTAGATTAATCACATTATCCCACCGGGCATAATTGTGGTTGACCATAAAACACGTGTTATCACCTACTTTTTCATTTATTTTCAAAGGGTTATCAGTGTATGATTATTTGGATAGTTTTATGTCTGGGAAATATTTGGGATTGGGATTATTTGTGTGTGTGTGGAACATACAGTACAGGCCAAAAGTTTGGACACACCTTCTCATTCAATGCGTTTTCTTTATTTTCATGACTATTTACATTGTAGATTCTCACTGAAGGCATCAAAACTATGAATGAACACATGTGGAGTTATGTACTTAACAAAAAAAGGTCAAATAACTGAAAACATGTTTTATATTCTAGTTTCTTCAAAATAGCCACCCTTTGCTCTGATTACTGCTTTGCACACTCTTGGCATTCTCTCCATGAGCTTCAAGAGGTAGTCACCTGAAATGGTTTTCCAACAGTCTTGAAGGAGTTCCCAGAGGTGTTTAGCACTTGTTGGCCCCTTTGCCTTCACTCTGCGGTCCAGCTCACCCCAAACCATCTCGATTGGGTTCAGGTCCAGTGACTGTGGAGGCCAGGTCATCTGCCGCAGCACTCCATCACTCTCCTTCTTGGTCAAATAGCCCTTACACAGCCTGGAGGTGTGTTTGGGGTCATTGTCCTGTTGAAAAATAAATGATCGTCCAACTAAATGCAAACTGGATGGGATGGCATGTCGCTGCAGGATGCTGTGGTAGCCATGCTGGTTCAGTGTGCCTTCAATTTTGAATAAATCCCCAACAGTGTCACCAGCAAAACACCCCCACACCATCACACCTCCTCCTCCATGCTTCACAGTGGGAACCAGGCATGTGGAATCCATCCGTTCACCTTTTCTGCGTCTCACAAAGAAACGGCGGTTGGAACCAAAGATCTCAAATTTGGACTCATCAGACCAAAGCACAGATTTCCACTGGTCTAATGTCCATTCCTTGTGTTTCTTGGCCCAAACAAATCTCTTCTGCTTGTTGCCTCTCCTTAGCAGTGGTTTCCTAGCAGCTATTTGACCATGAAGGCCTGATTGGCGCAGTCTCCTCTTAACAGTTGTTCTAGAGATGGGTCTGCTGCTAGAACTCTGTGTGGCTTTCATCTGGTCTCTGATCTGAGCTGCTGTTAACTTGCGATTTCTGAGGCTGGTGACTCGGATGAACTTATCCTCAGAAGCAGAGGTGACTCTTGGTCTTCCTTTCCTGGGTCGGTCCTCATGTGTACCAGTTTCGTTGTAGCGCTTGATGGTTTTTGCGACTCCACTTGGGGACACATTTAAAGTTTTTGCAATTTTCCGGACTGACTGACCTTCATTTCTTAAAGTAATGATGGCCACTGGTTTTTCTTTAGTTAGCTGATTGGTTCTTGCCATAATATGAATTTTAACAGTTGTCCAATAGGGCTGTCGGCTGTGTATTAACCTGACTTCTGCACAACACAACTGATGGTCCCAACCCCATTGATAAAGCAAGAAATTCCACTAATTAACCCTGATAAGGCACACCTGTGAAGTGGAAACCATTTCAGGTGACTATCTCTTGAAGCTCATGGAGAGAATGCCAAGAGTGTGCAAAGCAGTAATCAGAGCAAAGGGTGGCTATTTTGAAGAAACTAGAATATAAAACATGTTTTCAGTTATTTGACCTTTTTTTGTTAAGTACATAACTCCACATGTGTTCATTCATAGTTTTGATGCCTTCAGTGAGAATCTACAATGTAAATAGTCATGAAAATAAAGAAAACGCATTGAATGAGAAGGTGTGTCCAAACTTTTGGCCTGTACTGTACAGGGGCGGAAATCCCGAGGGGGAGAGGGGGGACATGACTCCCCCTTCAATAAAGCTGTACCACCCTAGAATAATTTGAGACACAATTAATAATTTTTGAATAATGCAGTAGTATTTATTAAAAGCACAATGTATGCGGTGCTCATTATAAAAGCACAATAATGTGCTATTTAAATCTTAAAAGATTTAGTCCCCCCACCCTGACATTCCTAGTAGTGGTATATCCCACACTCTTTCCAACGGGCGGGGCTAGCAGCCGTTAGTACTTGGCAGCAGTTGCAGCGTGTGGCTGGACCCGGCTGCCCACATCGCGCGGGGTAAGATGTACACTTGCAGATACAGTTTAACTTACACAAGTTACAACACATCCCATTTACTGTTACAACAAGCCCCAGGGCCAGGCTGATAATACAAACTGTCTGCAGCATTTCTCCTGCATTGTTCAAAAGCCAGAGTTTAGTGATAGTCAGAGAGGACAGGACAAGAGCAGTCAGTGACGGAGCGGCTTGTAGTTAATATCTGTAGGCTCTCCACCTGTCAGTGAGACAAACATCAAAGACGTGCAGTTTAACTGATGAGGAGCAGTCATTACGCGCGATTATTACGCATGGTTTTGAGGTGCGCAGCGGCAGATCTCACAGCACACTGTTTATAAACCAGTTCACCAGTTTAATTGCAGGAAATGTTTATCTCACTGCCGGTAAAAAAAAAAAACCCCGAAAAAAACAAATAAAACGGTTTGCTCCTGCAGCCAGCCAGAGATGACGGATCCATTCCACACACCTGAGCCAGATGAAAAAGAGGGAGAGAAGGAGAGAGATCGAGTTTCGGTCTTTGATGAATGAAGCCTTATTGTTTTGCTGCTATTAAACAATGAGAGACATGTTTTCTCCGTTTACTTAATCGCATAAATATTCACACTACTGCGCACGGGGAGACAGAGACCTGCTTTGCTCCAGACACACTCAGCATCTTGGACAGCACGGCGCACCTGACTGTTGTCGTTGTGTACATGTTAATTTGATTTCAATCATTTTTTTTTAAATCTGGACATGTGTAGGTGGACTCAGCCAGTGCTAAGAAAGGTCCTATGCCTGCCTGTTGGAGAGATAGAGAAAAGATTAAAGCGTCAAATTGCGGTAAAAGATGTTGTATAAAAGACAGGCTACAACTTTTTTTTGCTTGTCCCCCCCTGGAATTATTCTCTAAAATTTTACTGTTTATTGTCCCCCCCAACTATGAAATGGGATTTTCGCCCCTGGGAACGTAATTGGGTTCTGAACGGGTTAAGTACTTTTTATATACTTTTGAAATTTTGTAACAGGTACCAGGTTAGGTTAGTAACAGGTAGTAACAGGTTGTAACAACGTTACCTGACAATTGAAGTCATGCCCATACACGTTTGTCAGCTAACGTTGTTACAACCTGTTACTAACCTAACCTGTTACATTGAGCGATAGGCCTACACTAGAAGGATGCAGCCGAAAACATAGCTAGATTATCATACCCTGTGTGTAACTAATTACGTGCCCTACCCTTATTGATCCCGTAGTTGAAAGTGTCTAGAAGCAGGAGCACGGATGCAAAATACATCTATGAGCAGGAGTCACCATGGATGCAGGGGTCACTTGCAGGTGCCAGGTGGGAGCTTCTTGCGAGATTTTGATGTATCCTGTCTCCTCGTTCAGGAAAAAAAAAATTACCACGAAAAAAAGAAAAAAAAATACCACGAAAAACAGAAAATATTACTCAGGAAAACGGAAAAAGTACACCAAAAAACAGAAAAATAAATAAATTACTCCGAAAAACAGAAAAAAATACTCAGAAAAAACAGGGCTTTTTTTATTTGTCAAGTGAATGCAATACGCTTCCGTATGATCAGAAGAATTCAGTTTTGTGTGTGTGTGTGTGTGTGTGTGTGTGTGTGCGTGTGTGTGTGTGTGTGAATATTAATTTATCCAGACCCACACTCCATTTCGGTAGGTGGCGGTAATGCTTCCATACGTTGTTTGCCAACCGCCATAAAACTAGAAGAAGACTAAACGACAACATTGCACCTGGCAGTCACTGTAGCTGCTAACAGGAGGAAACAGTGAGTAAGTGTGGAAATAAACACTACTGTGCTTATTCAAACATTAATTCAACTTTCACTGTTTAAGCCACAGCTGCGAGGAGGAAAGTGTGTTCAGATTAGAGCCGCTTTTGTCCGTTATCTCATCGTTAGCCACACGGTCCCACCAAGTTGCTAACTTTTAGTGCTCACTTTAAAAAAGTGATACGACCTCTATAAATAAACATGTCTTTGCTTTGTAGGACGACCTCACCCGCTGCTTTGTTGGTGGACACGTTTTATATCAGTCAGCTTAAGATTCAAACTTAGCACAGGTTAATTGTTCCCACCTCACAGCAGCTAACGTTAAAGCTAAGCTAGCCCGAACAAACTGTATTTCATTACAACATGTAGCCACGGAAAGTTTGTTGTAACTTAAAGCCTCGCATTAAAGGTACAAAACGCAACCATAATCTAGACTCTGTAAATTAAAGCGAGCAAGTTATTAAATTAAAAAGTCCATGAAAGCTAAAACATTGTATATGAGCGTTTACTGACGCTGTTCAACGCGTTTGTATCAGCAGTGTTCGCAAATGCTGTAAAACAGGCCCGTTTTATAGGGATTTATCGACTGATCGATTTAATTATAGATTAAACTGTCAACTGTTGTTTGAACTAATCATTAAGTGACCAAGAAAATGTCCAAAATTAGTGAAGAGTGTCCATCACAAGCTCCCAAAACACAAGGTGACATCTTCACAGTGCTTGTGTTGTCTAAAAAACAGTTATAATATTATCTGTGTAATGATATAAAACAGAGAAAGTGGAGAAACTAATATGCATTTTGCTTGATACCTGACAACAGTGAAGTAAAATAAATAAATAAATCTCTTTTACAAGAGTGTCCTGGTCATGACAGGCTGCAATGTAAAGTTACAGAGAGACAACACAGAAGAAAAATACAAAATAATACTATGCAGCTCTAAAGCAAACAATATGAAACGCCTAATGAGATTACTGTGAAGATCAGCTAAACATATGTTATTATATGCTGTAAGTGAACCATTCAGACCAGCTCAATCAGCTGTTCAGTGTGCAGGCAGCTTTTTCTCTTGAGATTGTAATAAATTCCAAGGAATCATAGTCATCATTAGTCATGATAAATAGACTCACAGAAAACAGTTTATCTTCCAGCTTCCCCACCCTGGAGTTCAAACTAGGATGTTTAAATAGGGAATTTAAACTTTCTGTTTCAAACCCCAGTGTGGGGTTCTGTGTGAACTTTGCACGATGTCCCTGTGTCAACGTGTTTTTTCCTCATGGTAGCTCAGCTTCCTCCCACAGTCCAAAGACATGCAGGGTAATGGGTGACTCTAAATTGCCCATAAGTGTGAATGGGTGTCTGTCTCTATGTGTCAGTCCTGATAGTCTGGTGACCTCTCCAGGGTGTACCCTGCCTTTCACCCAGTGTCAGCTGGGAGAGGCTCCAGCCCCTCCCGCGACCCCTAACTGGATAAGCAATTACAGAAAATTAAAGAAGGAATGAATGAATTTAAACTTTTCCGTTTAAATATTATTCTTATCTGTGGGAATATGTGCCAAATTAATGCCTATAAAAAGGTATGTTGTTTATACTGTAGGCATATTGCCTAGCTTGTGTTAATTTTTGTTTTCCTTCAATTGATATTGGCAGGAAGACTCAACATGGCAACGCCGGTGCCTGTGCTCCGCCTGCCAAAAGGACCTGACCCCAACAGCCGTGGATTTGACCCCAAATCCCCCCGTTTCATCGCCCTGTGTCGTACCTCCATTCCCACTTCTGCTGCGTCTGAGGCAGACGCTGAGCAGCTGCAGAAGGAGCAGCATGCACGATCTGTGCTCCGAGAGACTTTCCTCCGATGTCTCCTCTCCATGACCAACAAGAAGGTTCAGTTTAACATGTATGAGAGGGTGAAGGTGGAGGCCACGTTTGGAGCGTCCGACATTGATGTGCTGAACTTTCAGGTGTCGGACCTGCACACTCCCCTCGGGGTGCAAAAGGAGGCACTGATCAGGTGTCAGGATGTGATTTCACTCACTTTTGATACATGAACACTTGACGCTTTTGTTTCCTGTTTAAACAGAATATGCTGTTTGGGATAAGAGGCACTTGGGAGTCTCATTTGTTGTTGCAAGTGAGCTCTATTGTCACATTGTGAGATAGTTTATAAAACTGGTTATATTTTTGTACTTTGTTTGTTTTCAGTCTGTATTGTTCAGCCAGACATACTGCTCTGTGTGACTGCTTTCAAAAATCCAACACTGACAGGCAGTCCCACCTTTCCAGCACAAGAGGGCGTTGTTTACTTGTGTTTCAAGACAGATGTGACAGTCTGCACTACTATTGGTTATTATCAGATATTTGGCAAAGCAGACCAAAGCTTTGATAACATGATGATGCTTGCTGATGACTACTTCTCAGAATATATTTACCCACAATAACATCTGTGAAGCAACTGTTTGTTATCAATATGAAGGCTGACAGGTAGAGGCATTCACTGTTTAATTTTAAGCTGTTACAGTCTAAGTTCTGAAAGTTGCACAACTTAATGGAAATGCAGCCTTAAAGACCAGGAGATCAAACAATCAAACCAATATTTTGTCTTACATCACAATTTATTAGTGTATCTGTTGTTCCTGCTCTACACTTTGAGACTTGTGTAGATCGTCAGCACTGCTGTTCTCTTTTGTGAGATGCAGAAGGTTATTACTGTACTGCTGCTCGAGTAGACAGGCTTTGTCTTTTGTCATGTAATTCTTTAGGTAAATGAAACTTTGCACTTTGAACGTTTCTTTTGCGTCAACCACTTTTGTATTTGAATGCCCATTTTGTATTCTGTTTGGAAAAATGATCAAGACACCTGTAAAGATTCATGCCTGATAAAGATTGATATTGCTTAAGAAAAAGTTGTCACTGATGTGTGAAAGCCAAGGGCCAACACTGATATTGAGTTTCATAACCATTTTAAAAACTAAAGGATTTAATATCCGAAGCAAATTGAGTTTTCTGGTTTTCCTCAGTTGCACTGCTTCCAGATAGTTGTGTATAACACTAATAGAGTAGTGAAGTTTGTGTCTTTTATAACAGTATGAGGGATGTAGTATCTGTATTTCATCAAACCCAGTCAGTTTCACAGTTAAAACTGCAGCAGTTAGTTGACCCAGGCAAAATTTGCAGGTTTGCATTTGTAAGAATTTGCTGCCCTTCTTTGTCTAACATTGTAGCATATTGCACCTTTATGTTTTTGACTGGTTTTACAAAAAAATGACAACACTACCTTGGGTAATTGAGAAAATATTCATCGCTAATGAAAATGCTAATTAAATGCAGCCCTATTCACAGTAACAGCAGTTTGTTTTAATGTTAAGAGACCCATAGGGCCCCTGGACCTATGCCCAGATAGATGCATTCAGTAATCCATCCATTATGACAGAACTTCAGTCAAATCTAACCCTGCAAACACCAGAAAACACCATAAGGAACTATAAATTAATTTTGTTGTTTTTAGTGGCAGATCCAAAACATTTATAGAGTGGGATATTAACCTGAATAAAAGTAATAGCCTCTCAAATATACCGAGGTCTTAGACGGACCAGGTGCACATCAGCTTATTCCTCCTGACTGTTTCAGGAACCTAACACAGGCGACACTGAGCCCACGGCCGATGGCAGCACAGATATTCATTAGTCACTTATTTAAATCCTTTGTCATAAATATAATACAGAAGAGTGGGATTCATCATTGTTTAGTACCAGCCTCACGGGGAGGGGGTGGAGGGGGCATCAATACTATTTAATCTTACTAAAAGGTGTATTTTGCAAGTTCCCAATAAGTCATTTTATTTGAGTGCCATTAGGCGGTTGTGCTGTGCTTGTGTCTCTTTTTGTACCTGAATTATCTGACCACTCAGTGGAGACAGTCATCAATGAGGCAGTGACTCATCCTGCCTCTCTCCCTCTCCCTCTCTTGCCCTCCCTAATCCGAAATATGACTTAAACCTCGCATGACGTCATCCAGCCTGTGTGATTCAATCAGGAAGCCCTCAAGGACAACCAATGTTAATTTCATATACACAGGCGTGCTCCCTCAGTTCTCACTCTCACCTCTGTGATGAGTGTCCATAACATCAGCAGGAACACATACTGTACATAAACATGTACGTTTCCATAAGTCTATGCTTTGCTGCACTCCATTTCTGAGGTGAATTTGTACTTTTTATTGTACTGTCAGTACTTTGCAGACAACAATTAAAACACATGACTGAATAGTTAAGAAGAAAAGTTAAGTAGTTAAAATTAATTCCACTTAAACCAGCTACACAATTTATTTCATGCAGATCAATTAAGGACTTAAATATTGTCATATTACTACTTTTACTGAAGTAAAGCATCTGGATCTGAATACTTCTTGACTGGCTGAACATACACAAACTTGTAAGTCATTAGTACCACGTGTGTTTTAATTGGGAAATTGTCTTTGGTGCCACCATAAAGCTTTAAAAACAACACACTGAGGACGGGGCGGCTGTGGCAGGTTGTCCACCAATCAGAAGATCAGGGGCTCGATCTCCGATTCCTCCAGTCCGCATGTCAAATCATTCTTGGGCAAGATACTGAAGACCAAACTGCCCCTGATGGCTGCTCCATCGGTGTGTGAGAATGTGTGAATGGTTACTGGTGGCACCATGTATGGTAGCCTCGGCCACCAGTGTGTGAATGGGTGAATGTGACCCAGTAGTGTAAAAGCACTTTGAGTGGTCAAGAACACTAGAAAGGCAGTCCATTTACCATTTACCATATAGTGATGCTGCATTCACATGCTCCTCGGATGGTCCCAGTTCCAGAGTTGTGATGTCGTTCTTCCAACTTTGGTGTGTGCATGAGCTTTAAGTCGTGATGTGGAAGCAACATGGATGCTACTGTGCTGTATTGTGTTGCTCAGAGCATTAAAACAACACGATAACATATCCCCTAAAACTACTACAATATTGCTTTACCTGATAGCTTTTCTGACTAATCTGGGTCACTCTAGGGAGACAGCAGCTTACAGTTACAACTTAACACCATATCACAAACTACGTGTGAGGAAAAAATTGACATGCAATATTAATTCATTCAATTTCCGTAACCACTTATCCTGTTGGGGGTTGTGGGGGGCTGAAGCCTATCCCAGCTGACACTGGGTGAGAGGTGGGGTACACTGTGGTCACCACATAGAGACAGACAACCATTCACACTCATATTCACACCTACAGCCAATTTAGAGTCACCAATTACCCAAACCTGCATGTCCCTCTTGCTGTGAGGCGACAAAGCTAACCACTGCCAGTGACATCACATTGCCATGTTTCTGCATACATGATGTCATATATGATCTTGGCAAATCATGTATCAAATTTTTTGTCAGTTTCCGAGTTGTTGTCCCGACTTAAAGGGGCATTCACATGAATTTTCGCATTGTGGAGCTAATTTTTCCCATTATTCGGACACCACATGAATGCAAGGTTAGACGTAGCTCAAGCAACTTTTAAGATACATAAATACAGTTGCAAAGAAAGAGAGCAAAAAGCAGAGAGGGACAAGATGCACAATTTACATATTTATTTACTGTTTTTTTAAGTTCATATAAATTTAGGGCCTGTTAATTTCACAATGAAATATGGCTCAAGTCTGGCCGTAATAATGTGGTCCAAACGTCTAGTTTGGTGATGTTGGCCATTGTGTTTTCTTGAAAGCTACTAATCACTATTTTTCCTTTTAACAATGGACAGGTGGTTTGCATCATGAGAAAGGGGTCTCTCCCGGTGATGAATGCAGCTTTATGGAGTGTTCAGCTAATTGTTTGGATTTTCCAGCCCACAACTGACTGTTTTGTTTATGTCTTGTTTCTGCTGCCCCCAAGTGGCCAAAAAAAATTAGCTGGTGAAGGTTCAACATGGGCCGGATCAGTCTGCTACATCTGCATGACTTTGTTAAGAATACATTTTGTATTTTCTTTAAAAATTAAGTAGCCACGACTGCAAGGAATGAAATGCTCCTGACATTTTGTAATGGTGCACGACCACAGAGACACACAGTTTCATGCAGTTAACAAGACTGTGTTCTGTGTCTTGTGTTACACTGCTGCAGAGAAATGATATGATAGGAATATGAACAGTGTAGTGAGAATATATATGTTTTAAAAACTGAATTGGCCATAAGAATGATCTCTTCTGAAGCGCTCGAGCTGGATTCATGTTGTGTAATTTGTAGCGGTGCACAGGGACACACTGTCTCAATGTTATCTACTCTTACTGTTTGTCTTTCCTGACAGTCTGCTTCTCCCCTGATTTCAGTGGAAAAACATTCCTGCCTCTTAGTATGCACGTGTGTGTGTGTGTGTGTGTGTGTGTGTGTGTGTATCAGTTATGATGGTACAAGGAATCTGCCCTGTATAACACCACTGGCCAACAGGAAGCACATTCCGCTCCTTCCTGTTTGTGGCCCTCTCTCACTTCCTGGTAAGTGTCTGATAACTTACAAAACCACTTTATCACCCTTTTGCCTGAAATTCCTGTCAGCAGATTAAAGTAATTGGGCAGCCACGTCATCATCATGTATTTTTAGTGTGTTTCATTATGGATATGATAGAGGATATGATGATGACTCGCATGATAACATTCATTTCTATGGAAAAAGTATCAGCTCAGGTATTATTGTATCAGACTGGTATAACACCTGTTGACACAGATTGTGACGTAATGTAAATAACTTGAAGAGATCACAGGGAGGCTGCATGACTTCATGAATATGAGTCGAGAGGTGAGATGGGGGATTTACACAGCCAGCTGATGAGTCAATGAAACTGCCTCTCATTCTTCTGTGCTGGCTCATTACAAAACAAAAGAAAAAACAGTACAAGCATGGCTCTGTATGGTTGTCCACTGAAAATTTGACTATTTTTAACTTAACCTTTAAATAACATTTTCGTAATGTTGTCCTTTTTCCAGCTTTAATTCATTATCACTTCTCTTCTCTTTTGTGTGGCTTCCATGCATCTTATTTTTAGCCTAACGCACAGCATGGCTCTGGGGATTGCAATGTCAGTCGGTTGGTCCTTTGCCCAGACTAAAATACCCTCACAAATATTGGTGGATTGCCATAAAATTTTGTACAGACATTTGTGGTTCCTAGACTGTGAATCCTATTGACTTTGGTGATCTCTTAATCTTCCTGTAGTGCCACCTAAAGGTTTTCAGTTATTTGTTAAAATATCTCAGCATGTACTCGATGTACAGTACAGGCCAAAAGTTTGGACACACCTTCTCATTCAATGCGTTTTCTTTATTTTCATGACTATTTACATTGTAGATTCTCACTGAAGGCATCAAAACTATGAATGAACACATGTGGAGTTATGTACTTAACAAAAAAAGGTTAAATAACTGAAAACATGTTTTATATTCTAGTTTCTTCAAAATAGCCACCCTTTGCTCTGATTACTGCTTTGCACACTCTTGGCATTCTCTCAATGAGCTTCAAGAGGTAGTCACCTGAAATGGTTTCCACTTCACAGGTGTGCCTTATCAGGGTTAATTAGTGGAATTTCTTGCTTTATCAATGGGGTTGGGACCATCAGTTGTGTTGTGCAGAAGTCAGGTTAATACACAGCCGACAGCCCTGTTGGACAACTGTTAAAATTCATATTATGGCAAGAACCAATCAGCTAACTAAAGAAAAACGAGTGGCCATCATTACTTTAAGAAATGAAGGTCAGTCAGTCTGGAAATGTGTCCCCAAGTGGAGTCGCAAAAACCATCAAGCGCTACAACGAAACTGGCACACATGAGGACGGACCCAGGAAAGGAAGACCAAGAGTCACCTCTGCTTCTGAGGATAAGTTCATCCGAGTCACCAGCCTCAGAAAT